AGGATTTTGGTTCCTGCATTCTTCTTTAAGTGTTGTTTATATTACTGATGGACCCAACATGCTTCTTTTCCAATATATGTTGTCACATTTCTCCAAAGAGGAAGACAGGGACACAGGAGCATAACAACAGACATTCAGAGAATACCTTGACTAGATTTACTAGTCAAGATTTACTACTACTGGAAGCAGCTGCAGCAACAGGCTGGAGAAATTGGCCATTGTGGGATCAACCACAAGGGTCCCTTGGCCCCCAGTCAGCAAGACCGGCCATGCCTGCCTCCCACCCCAGGCAATAAGATAAGCCATGGGACTGGTCACAGAGGGTTCGTACCCCACCTGACTAAGGCAGCACCAGTCACCCATGGTAATGTGTAAAAAGTAGCAGCACTGAACTCCAAGTGGGGGTGAGTAGCAGAGACAGTAATGGTGATCTGGCAGCAGCAAGTGATGATTGTGGTGAGGAGCAGCAGCAGCAACTCCCAGTGGTGTAGAGTAGAGACAGCAAGAAGAGGTGGCAGTGAAGCACCCCAGTAATAAGGAGCAATGTGCTTTTCCTCCATACCATCACCTGAGATTTTGCCTAGCATAGGTGGTACAGCCCTGAGATGGCAGGCCCTGATGCATCTGCCTTTCCAGCAGCTGGGCTCCCCAGAATTTGCTTCTTTATACACCAAAAGAGTCCCCTGCTGTAGCACTAACTCCTTTCTCTAGGGCTAGGGACATACATTACACATAAACCAGTTTAAGTGATCAGAAACTGATCTAAACCTGTAACAGAACAGACATTCAGTACACATTAACCAGCTTCAAAATGGCCAAAGCTGGTTTGAGATAAGCCTGGTTGAATGTAATATCAGACTTAACTGATTTGGGTCAAACCGGTTTATACAATGCCTGTCCCAGACCCCTTCCTGGTTTAAGTTAAATCAGAGTCCTCCACCATCCCATTATGCACTCTGTCTGGGGCTCTGTTGTGTGCCCTAGAGCAGGGCTGGACCCACCCCTCTGCTCTCCAGCCCAAACAGGGACAGGAAGTGTTGAGACATCAGCCAGCATGGCCCTGTTAAGGCAAAGTGGGCTGGGAGGGGGTTAATTCTTTCCTCCTTCCTCACCACAGCTGGGGTCTGCCTGTCTGTTGGGAAGCAGAGGGGAGTGGGATGCACCAGTGGCCCCCGGGGATCGCAGACTCTGTCCTGCAGGGCAAAAGGGGTAGAGGGAGGAATTAACCCTTCTCCCTGCTGCTTTCACCTTCATAGAGGGACTTTGTTTCATGCTGGGGGACTCTTCCCCTTCTTCTTCCTCCTCTCACCAGACTAGTGGGGGAAGTGCTTTGGGAGGTGCTGGGGGGAGGTACTCTTCCCCCCACCCTCACCCCTGCTGCTGTGGGGCAGGGAGGGGGGATAGTCTCTATGCAGCACTGCCCAGGCTCACCAGGACACACAACATGGCTGTAACAGAGCTGCAGCAGCCGGGGGGGCCCCCCCCCCACATCCCGTGTCGGGCTCACTCAGCAGCCCCAAGGG